CTTCATCTCCTATTTCCTGCTCATTTTTACTGTCTACTGCCGGTGGACATGGGAGACCTAGAGGCTAACATCCAGCCTATTGAGGACAGTCTTCCTGAGGGTTCTTCCCTCAGTCAAGGAACTTCTTTTGTTTCCCCCTTCCCCAAAGGCTGTTTAGAGCCGAAGCTGTAGTTTTAGCTGTTCTGAATCATCTCAAAGTGGAAAAGCCTTTCTTTGCACCTACCGTAGAGAGAAACTGCCATGGGCTGAAATAAGGTTTGTGAATACCTCCTTTCTAGCTGCTCTATTTTTCTAGGCCTCATCTCCTTTATATACCTTTTAACTACTCCTGCTGTTAAAATTAAGCTGCTCTTCAGTTAGGAATGCTTTGGAGACCAAGACGACAGAGTTTCTGACTCCGCTCTTCTGTGCGCTGTAGTCTTTTGTATGAGAGGACGTCTTAAATTCTGGTTTCTTTTCTCATTACTGTTTATGTATGTTACCCAGCAGCTATGTTGTTTAAAATGTGCAAGCGGTTCCAGAATGAGCTTGGAAAAGAGTATCAGGCTGTGCTAGGCAGCAAAAGGAAATGACGTAGAGTCTGTCAGTAGATGAGCATGTCAGCTAAGCGTGATTTGATCCATACCCAGGGTTCAAATGTATGATCAAGCTATGGTGATGGTGTTTTCCACCTACCATCTGAGCTGCTCAGTTTGTATTCTTTGATGTAAACCAAGATCACTATTAGACCTTCACCACAGAAGGGGTATAGCACTCCCCGGCTGCTTGCTTCTCTTCTTCCTCCTCATCAGAGGTTAGTGTCCCAAAGCTGAGCTGGAGGAAGAGAATATGGGAGGCACAGAGGTGAATTAGGGAGTTCTCAAAAGTTCCGTTTTGCCTGGTCAGTTTTAGGGTTTGATCCCCCTCCAGCCTGTGGGCAGAGCAAGTACCTGGGGGCAGTAACCTTTTTATTGTTCCAGCTAGATCTGGAAGTAAATGTCTGCCCAGGCCTCTACCTATATTTAAAAAGTTCTAACATTGCAACTTTTGGGTTAGATTTCTCAAATACGTGAGGAGTGTTACCTGCATGTTCCATCATCACACCTTTAGATTTGTGTCTAGACACAAGCACTTCTACAGAGACTAGCGCAGTGGAGTGTTGATTTTGCTGTTGTACAAGAATAAAAGCTAGAATGCCTTAATAAGGAAAGATATGTGGATAGTCATATTTGTGATCCTCAGAGCTCAAGGGTGCCAAAATTGCTGACTTTGGAAATCTTTTCAAAAAGAACTTGAGTTCAGGTTATGTACATCTTCATAGGTAAATCTTTTTTTTTTTTTAGTAGAAGTTTCTGCTTCTCCTTCATCTGCTTGTTAAAAATGCTACACATTCTTTCCTTTAAGCTTATGCTGTAGCTTAGGTCAGAGAATAAAAGTATGTTATGGCCTTGGTATATGATCACCCAGTGGCCTTCAATGTTTTCAGGATTACCTGACGTGTATCAGACAGAATAACCATGCTGTTGGTATCATTTCTTTTCTTATCTTTCAATTCTGAAATATTATTTCTTCTTTCCCCACACATGGGATCATTTTCAGTGTGCAGTTCCAGATGTTTGCATATGAGTTTTCCATGGTCTGGGCTCAAAATCAGTATCAGCTGGAATTTTAAGGGTGTGGATATTTTGAAACTTAGGGTCACGAATTCTTGCAGTACTCTTCTACAACAAAGAGTTGATTTTTAGCAAGTGGCTTTACTTGTTCTAAGTCTTTTCTGCTCATCTCTTTTTTCCTCAAACTTCACGTTCTCTGCCTGTTTCCTAGAAATAGCTGCCACCTCCTCTGTGGAAAAGATGAATTTTAATATGTAAGGCCACCATCTTCTTTTTCAAGAGTTTTGAGTGCTTTTGCAAGCTTATCAAATAGCTGATTGTACTGTGAAGCTGTTGTGCTGTCTTCTGTAATTGATACGTCTGGTCTCTATTGCTTTCTGCAAGGCAGAATAGTTTCTCTCTGAGGGATGGTTGTGTCATACCTTGGCTTCAGAAAGAAACTGGCTTATGAAGTTCCCATTTCCACTCCACTACGGCAGTTCACAGTTGTTTCAGTTCTGCTGATGAGCTTGGTTTTGCAATTGAATCATTAAACTTGCATTAATTGTGGGGAGGGAAGGTGATTTAAATAGGGATCATTTCAGTGATGCAATTTATTTTGCAGCTATACAAATAGGCTTATTAGCACAACTGAGGAGGAGGCAAGTGCAGGAGGAGGATCAGAATTAGCAGCTGGGGTACAAAGTTAGTTGAAAAAATTATTCACTTATTCATTGCTACAGGAGCTGGCACTATTTCCTTTGTTAAGGTGCATCATTAGTATGCTGTGCATCCTCTGAGGGTGTCCCTATTTGTGGTATACTGTGGCAAAAGACCTCTTAACAGCAACAACAACAACAAAGTATTGCAAACTAAATACAAGAGATGAAAGTTTGCAGATTGTTGTCATTAAATGACTTCTCTGTCTCCAGACATCATGGTGGCTGTCTTGATTCTCCTTTCAGTCTTTTATTGTGAAAGTTTTGGGGGAAAAAGTTGCCTAGATTAGGCTAATATTTACATATAATGATCAAAGAATTATAGTTGTGTCAGTTCTTTGTGGTATATGTGAGAGAAATAGCAAATAGCACTATTTGCTCTGAATTTGAAGAGCAATTAAAAGTGGAGTGCTTCCTTCAGTTGTACCTTTGGGACCCTTCCAGTGCAACCGTCAGAGCAGCGTGTCTGTGATCTCTGTTAGTGTCAGTATTTCACTCATGTCAGTGTTACAGAGACTCTCAGTTACCAGGTTAGTTTACCTGTGGAAGATCATTCACACATCCTCAGTCTGAACACTTCAAAGATGATAAAATAGGACAAATAGACATGCAATCCGAAAAAGTAAATTCTTGAACTATTTCACCCAAAACATAATGGCTCTACTGGTAGAAAGGAAACTTTCAAAAAAAAAATCATTGATCAGTGATAACAAGCATGCTGCAAGTACTTGAAAGGCAGCAGGTATCCAAAGCCAAATACCATCTGTCTATCATATGGCTAATCAGATACAGGATTTTTTCCTGAACTTTTACCTTGGAAAGAATCTTAAAAAAATGGAAATAAAATTTGCTCTGTTTGAAGTTCTCTTGGCAAGTACCATATTTCACTAGGTGTGAAAAATGAACTCTGTGAGAGTCTACATTCCTTATTATTTTGCTGCTGGAAAACTGTGTCTACGAAGCAGGAAACAAACCCAATGTCAGAAAAAATACCATGTACATATTATCTTCTCTCATAGGATATTTTGCTCAACTTTGTTTTGGCATGCTCTCTTCTTTTTCACTTCTTAATCTCTCTTGAAAATTAGTTCTTCCCAAAAGGCTTCCTTTTATTTGTCAGCTAGTGTTTGAAAAATTAGTCTTGTTTTAAAATGTTATAAAATGTTTGATGTCAAACATTTCACAACAGTCATTATTAAAGGTATCAATTAATGTGTCTCAATAGTGCGCAAAATGCATTTTTTTCCCTGTTCTCCTGACATGAATAATCTTGAGCTGTCCTTGGACTTGTCCTTATGAGTAAAATGGATCTCTTTTTCCTAACAGGGAATTGATTATATATGATTATATTATTTGTGTCCCTCTTGGATTTATCTAAATTGTGATGATGTTGTGGAAGAAGCAAGTTCTAGCACAAGCACACTTTCAGCATTAAAAGATATGATAATCAAAGTATGATTACTTTGAGGAATATCAAAAGTTTAGGGATTTTTTTTTCTCTCCTAAAAAACGTAGAGAGAAATAAAGCTGTTTTACCATCATTCAAAAGTCTAGTGTATTTTCTAAAAAGAAATTGAGCAAAGGGGTGTGAAAATGAACTGCATCTGGCAGTGGAAGAATTTTTGACACATTCTTGCCTTCGTGGGGATTGGATTAGTGAATGTAGCTGGAATTTGGAAAAAAAAATTGAAAGGAGTAAGGCCATTGGCTTGCTTGAAAACCTCTGATGATCATAGTCAAACATTTATTTGAAAAACAATTGTAGTGATATGAGAAGTTGTTTCTCAACAGTTGTACGCAGCTGACTTTTGCAAACTCTTTGTTTGCTGTCGAACAAGATCAAATGGGTTCAAATAAACCACTGGCAAGGTTTCTTTAAAGAAGGCACATCCCTTAGTGATTGAACTACCAATACAGTCAAACTACTTAATTACATTTGTCAAGGACTTGTATGAGGAACAGATATCCAACAAACAAATTTGGTGAAACTGTTCAAATGTACTTGTTTTTAAAGTATTATGAAAGATTACCAACTAAGCTATTACCTTGAATAAAGATTGAGATTACCAGGCATGCCCTGGTAAATTCATTTTACATACATTTGCACTGAAAATCTACTTTGGTATTTGTGCTTTGCTCTGACGTTATTTACTAAATAACTGCTGCAAAAGAAACTTACTCTCTAATGTCTTTTTCAGGCGTTTCTTCCAATAACAATTGTTTCTTGTATCCAGATGGTTCTGAACTGGTTATATTCGTATTAGAGCAGGTCAGAAGAGGGAAAAAGGACAAGTATGTCTTGCAGTTGAAATTCATGTTTAATCCAATATTCATTGTTTGATTTTGGCTCTGTAGTAGCTCCTCCACTTGATGAGGACTGTTAGTGTGCTAATGTGAAGAGTCTTGCCTTTAATTATCTAAAATGTTTTCCTTCTAGGTCTACAGACAAGACTGTGAAACCTTTGGCATGGTGGTGAAGATGCTAATTGATAAAGATCCTTCATTAGAGAAGTCCATTCAGTTTGCCCTCAGACAGAATTTGCATGAAATAGGTGAGCGGTGCATAGAAGAACTCAAACATTTTATTGCCCAGTACGATGCTGCCAATCAAGACTTGTCAGAATCCTTCAAAGAGGGCCCATATTAAGGACAAAAATACACTTTTAGATCCTCTGTACTGTGCACGCCATAATATACAAGTATGCTTTTTGGCAGTGGAAGAGGAATTCTTGTTGGAAATCTGAACCCAAGGCCTGTGTTTCTCGTAGCTAAGATGGCCCTACCTTGTTCATTGTGATCTTCACAATTGTATTCTTCCTACCTGTACTTGTTGACATTTATTCCTTTGAAAAGGATATTCTCTTCAATAATGCTGTAAAGTGACAAACTATTTTTGGAACTTTTACACAGTTGCCTAGGAAAAAATGTTCGGTCTGATGTATGTACGCTTACGTTTCAGTGTTTAGAAGTGTAACTACAAGCACTGTATTTTTTATTAAAATAACAAGAAATAGCTCTTCACTTGTCAATTTACTCAGAACTATATCCTGTTTTCATAATGCTATAGGAAGACTTGCAAGATTGTTTGCAACTATGATTTACATTATTTATTATAGTTTAGTTTTGATCCTCAGATTCATTCTGTAAAATGACACTAGGGCTTATGTCTCTAGCCTCTGACTGCCAGAGCCACTTTACCTGCTTCATGCAGGAAGTGATGTATGTACTTTTCCTCTAATTGCAGGTTCTGCAAATGCCTTTTAAATTTTGGTATTTCCTGTATTGTGAGTCGTTACTAGTAAGCAGTATTATGTAGGATAAGTTCCATTTTTTTGTTAATATTTGCAGCTAAAACTTTCCTTTTTTATTTTTTGACTACACCTTATCTAGCGTAACTGCAGGCAGTCTCTGAAGAAGGGAAGGTCTATCCCCTTGCATTCTCCCTCTTCCCCCTGCCCCCTTCTCACCACTTTTCATGGGTCAGTTTTAACAATTGAGGGGCTCCATAATCCCTAGTTCTGGCATTAAGAAGGGGTAGGAATTTGGGGTGTCAAGTGGGTGGGACAAGGGAAGTTAGCAGGACTGTCTCTTTAGCAAATCTAAGTCACCCCAAATTGATTGGCACTTCAAACCTAGCTGATTCTTTGTAATGTCTGGAGTCGCTTCTGACCTGATAGGGTTACTTTTAGTGGGGGACAAAAATGATTGAGGAGAGTCAAGAGCTACATGATTGGTTTTCAAAGATGAAATATATCTAGGACTCATGGGTGGTATTCTGGCTATTGCATTATGTACAGGTTTACTTTTAGTGAGATACTGTTTTTTATGGATGTTTTAGGAATGGGAGAATTTGAGTCATAATCAGAAAGAAGAAAGTGTAAGCATGATTGTTTTTATACATTTGTACTTAAAGATGTGAAGTTGTATATAAGGATAAATGACTAAAGCTCACCAATTCCAAAATGCGCAGTATTTTTAAGTGGAAAAAGTCAGCGAACTCCATCCCCAATCGAGTAGCTTTTCAGACTTCATCAGAATGATTTGCACAAAGGTAAATACAACGGCAATGATTTTGCATCCACAAGGTACTGTATGTGTCACAGCACCTTACACGTGCAAATCTTCATCTGGATATTAAAGAATATATTGCATCAGATTCCTGAGATGCCTGATTAGTTTTAACGTCAGTAGGGTGTGGTTTTGCACTTGGCGCTTGTTGGCGCTCTTGGTTTCTAAGAGTTCACATTGCTCAAAGGGGATGACCTGCCACTTACCTTGTTGGCAGTAGGGATTGTGTGGGCTGCCCAGTGAGTGGGAATCTGCTCACTGATCCTACTCAAAAACTATTTTGGGATGGGAGAGAGGGGAAGAGAGGCAACCTGTTGTGGCACAGTAGCTAGACCTGACCTGCCCTTTTGACAGCAACAGGGCTTGCCCAAGATCAGTCATTAAACTAGAGGCAAAATCTTCTTTGAGGAAGAAATGAAACTAAAGTACTTCAGTGCTTGTCTGCAGAATGGAGAGTCTTCAAGCTGTTAATGCTTTTGACTCATTTAGAAACATCAGAGTTTGTACTTTTGAGTTAGAAATGCTAGGGAAAAAATACTGAAATTATGTTTAATATTTTTGATTAAAAACGTCTTTTATGACTGTACATTGTGTTAGGAGTCTCCTTTGTTATCACAGTGAAATTTAATCAGACTTCTAAAAGTGTCTGATTTTTCGAGTCTGATTTTCTATAAAGTAAGACCTAAGCTTACAATGTTCTTGGTGGTTTTTCAGATTAGCTAATAGGTTAATTAAATCTTTCAGAAGTTTCTGTTAGGTTGTTCTTAGCTTAATCTGATATTTTTTAATTTCGATTAAATTTTACTAATGAACTGAGGAGACTTTTTTTTTTCTAGATGCTATTTCTATGAAAGGCTTAATATGATGTTCTGGTTCATGAGTGACAGGTTACTGTTTTCACCTGTTTAATACTTCTCATTATGTTAAATGTCCATGCTTAACCCTTTGTGATGTGTGCTTTATGTTGATTTAAGTAAAGTATTATGCCAGTCACTTAACTTAAAAGCAAGAAACATGGCTTTTATTCTTGCTTCCTGTAGAAACAAGCATACCCTTTGGATTTGATTTCATGTCAGTGCAAAAAATTGTCCTTGGTCTTGTGGGCAGCCTTGATGGGGCTCCTAAAAGGGGCAGAAAGAGTATTGGTAGAAGGAACCAGATGCTGTTCTGGTGAAGAGGCAAGGAGTAATTTACTTTCTTCATTACATTAACAGCTCTTGAAAATAAAACTTACTTTTAGCACTCATGAATGTGCAGATACCTTTTAAAAAAAAACAAAAGGGGAAGAGGAAACGGGAGGAACAGAGCATGGAAGTCCATTGCTGTCTGCTGATGCCAGAGCCTGCCCAAACAATTCTGAATGGATCTATTAAATCTCAGTGGGTGACTTGTCAATTTTGAGCAGTTATGGTGAAAATCAGCAATAAAATCACTGTAGCTATAAATGTAGCTAACAGCATCTATCTACAAAGAACTGGTCCTTTTGTTTTCTGTGCAGATTTTCTCTTGATGAGGGTAATGTATGGCCCTAACATCTCAGTTACTATCGTGAAAGTATAAGCTGCACTTGGAATAGCTACCACTTCTAATGATACAAAACAGTAGTTGCAGTCTGGTGCCTGTATCTGCCTCTTGTGCAGTGGCAGACACCATATCCCATATCATTGCCTTTAAGAACAAAGAATGGATTAGAAGCATTTTCCAAAAGAACTGATCAAAAATAATAAAGTGGAAGAAACCTTTTATCTTAAGCTGAAAAAAAAAAAGTTGTATGGTCATCTTTAGGTATATAATTTTTGAAGCCGATAATGAAACTGAGTGTTTTGTATTTCCGGTCTTTCCTTCACATGACTGTCTTAGCAATCTATTCTTCAGCAAAACAAAGCTTTCTAAATGTTTTCTAATGTTAGTTATTTGTGGTCCTGCAGCCCAACATCAGTAAGGGAGAGCGACTTTTGCAGTAGAGGTATCTAAACTAGCACTGAAAATGCTGCTCATTCAGTGGAAGAAAACCATGTTAGAGCACTACTTGCCCAGGCTGCACACTGTACAGCTGTACCTTCCCTGGCTAGGTATAGTTTTTAAGGAGAAAAAAAATAATTTGGAATAGTTCACAGTCTTGCCTCAGGCTAGAAAGAATAGTGGCTGTTTACAAGGAGAGCAGCATGACGCACTGTAGGATTGTAACCCCTTCCCCCCCCCCCCACCCCCCAAACTCTTTTTCAAACAAATGTGCCTAAAATTGTTTTTCCTGAGTAAAATTGAGCATAATAGAAGGCCTCTATCCACTCCCCAAACTTCCAGCTGAAGCATAAAAAGAAGGTTGTGGGGCAGGGGAAACGTCATTAGTTACGTTACTCATTTTAAAGTAGCTGCAGCCCTTGCAGGAACACACAATTGAGAGTGCCCCAGCACTGATACCTTTAGTCCTAGCTCCTTGTTTTGCTGTAAGGGCATGGAGAAGAGTGCCTTTCAATGCAAGTTTATTTTGCAGTTTAGAGGGAGGTAATGTGAAAGTTAGCTGTCTGAACAGAGCTGGTAAATGACACCCTTTGAAGATCTGAGTTGCGCTTTTTAAAGAACATATTACTTACTAAGTAACTGATATAACCTGTGGTGAATGTTTGTCATCTTGTACTCCCTAAGGCTTTGCACTTTGTGAGTAGTACTTAAAAATACACGTGCTATATCTCAGAAGATGGTATAAGATCTGAAGAAATATTAGCATAGCCATTTCTATGTGAGACAATTCTGTGCTGCAACAAGGCCATGGCAGAGCAGCAGAGCACTCTCTTCCTGAGGAGCCCAGTCACCCGTATTTGGAAACGCAGATAAGAACGGATGGTCCCAATCACTATTTGAGTATCCTGGGGAAAGTGTTAACAGCTCGGCATCTCTCCTAAAGGCTAAGTCTTGTCTGCCTGGCTGTTGTAATATTCTTATGCGCAAAAGGCATTTGACTACTAAGAAAGCAAGTGCTGCCTAAGCCACCGCAGCAGCTAGCTGCCCACAGGCCCCTTCACCACCCCCCCATTGGCCCATACTATGTAGCATGATATTACTTTGGTCAACTTTCATGTACATAAAACATGTTTGTACTAGATAAACTACTTCTGTGGTGAATACCACCTCTGGGAGTAAAGGAACTCCTGCTGTTTTCCCCCTAAGAAATTACAGGCAAGTAACTGCTAGTTTGATTTATCCTCAACAACCAATTAATTTCCTTTGGTGTGAGCAATAGCCATGTGTCCATCCCTCACCTCTAGCTGCTTGTATTTCAAGCCACTTTATATCCTCAAGAATTACAAGCTTAGTGCAAGTTGCCAGACTCTTTTTTAAGAAGCAGCTGTTTGTTATTTCATTAATTATTTTTGATGAGGTGGTTAAAAAGCTGTAGTATTTACTATTTTTATTGGCAGATGTCACTATTCACTCAAGTAACAAATTTCTGCCCTTCATCTAAAACATTAAGTTTATTATAACGTAAAAGGCAACTTTTGAGATTACCTACTACTTCTTTTATAAAGTAGTAAAAGTTTATATAAAAATATTTATAAATAACCTTTTTTTTTTTTGCTCCATTTGCATTCTAGAACCTCCCAGCATCTTCGCTTCCGTAAAGTAGACCAAAATCAGACACTCTGGGGGAAAGGAGGGGAACAATAACAAAACCACTCCACAGGAGTTGCATCATTGGTGTACTGGTATATTCCATGTTTGTGTGGTTTTTACATAGATATAGTTTACATTTTGCTTGACCCATAAATAACACTTGCAAGATTAAAAGGGCCATAGTTTAGAGAGTATTTACATAGTCTCACCATGCATACAGAGCTTTTAATACCTAATAGACAAAATTAAGATGTTTTGCACTAAACATTTTTTTTAATATTTTTAAACTTAAAACCCCTGACTAGAATACAAGCGATATTTCATCCATAATGCTGCTGTTAAACCCCTAACAAATCTAGTTTGATATTGTAACAAACTTCTTCAAATTCAGGGATATAAAAATATTCAGCTTTTAAAATTTTAAACTGTACAATATGTACATTAGTATTTGCACTGTTAAATTATGAATACACTTTAGCCTATGAAATTCTACATTATAAATATCAATGTGTTCAATTTAGAATTGCAGCTAATACATTTTAAAACCTGGATAATGCATTTCAAAAGACAGATATGGAGCCTAATCCTTTAAGCCCTTAGGAAAATATTTGTTACATAAGTAGATTCATTGACTTATTTAAATGGGGTTACGTGCCTGAGCAAAGGATTCCAGCATTTGCACCCTACTCTTTTAATGCTATTGGAGGGGTGCAGGGGGAAGAGAGGACACAGAAAGCATCACTGTTCAGTGGCAGTTGCAACTAGGTTTAGACCCATCAAAACAACCTGGTTCAATTCTAAAACAGCTGAATTAATAACTTCCTTTAAACAGGCAGAACAGAATCCTTACATAGGGTTAGAACTCTAAAAACATGAAAGTTAAACGTGTAAGCCGTTTACTGCTGCTTTAGGATGTATCATCAGAGCCTCAAGCGTTTCAACCGTCACATTCTGATTTTTGCCTCCTTAATAGAGGACTCTTTGGAAGAGCAGCATTTTCCCAAATAAAACAAGTTCCAGTTTTTGTAAAGAAACTTCCAGGAGGAAGAATGAGCTTTATCAGCAGAAAAGGGGGATAGTGTAGAGCCTTTGTCTTCATGGAGAGAAAAGGAAATTCAAAGACCACCTGTATGAGTAAAGCTACAGTACAGGGTAGACAGTTTTATTTACTTATCTTTGTTGAATCCCTTCTGTCAGATTAACTAAACACAGGTGAGTAGCGAGCACAAAAGTGTCTACAAAACGTCTGTATCAAGGACTGCAGTAACAGTATTTTGACAGCTGGAACATAATATTATAAACCTAGCAGTATCTGAGCAGATCATCATTTGGCATAGTGACATTTCTGAATGTTATTTTTACAATGTAAACTCTGGTGGTGTTATCATTTACACTGGCAAAGCATTAAGAACCTTAGCAACTTGCCTAAGTACAGTTAATACAAAAAGATACGGTTCAAACTGTAGCTATAGAGTTGACTGGTCTTCCCAACTGTTAAAACAAATTAAGAAATTATGCAATTTTTCCCTTTGTGTCCCCTCTTCTTCTTTGATTTGGTTGTCCTTTGTCCAAACTGAGAACTAGATAATGCAGTAGTTGTACCAGAAAGGTCATCTGTGTAGTATGGATATCTCAGTGATCGTGGCTGTGGAATTGGCTGTCCTAGAAAATATCCTTCCTCTTCAGAATCAGATGATGAGGATGAAGTTGAACACCAAGAGTCATCTTCATCACCATATAATCCAAAAAATTTATCAACCACCTGATTTCGCAGTGCATAATCAGAAGTAGTATGGGCATACTGTCCATACAGCTCTGCATTTTGAATATATGCCTGAATCTCACGTGAGCTTTTATTTTGAATAAATTTTTCATGATCCTGAGGAGAATAAAAACGAAATCTCTCTTTTGGAGAACATCTTCTTTCTGCAGCCAAGTTAAGTGCATTATCTGAACGTGATTTCCTGCTTCTTCTACGATGATGGTGAGGCCGACTTCCACGCTCTTCAAAATGATAAACACGCCTACGAGTCCGTTCACTCATTGGAGGTTGTCTAATTTCAACATTCTCATAACTTCCATTATCAATAACATCATCTGAAAACTTTACTTGCTGTGGTCTTGACTGGGATTTAGACCTTCTCAGTACAGGCATATGCACTGGCTTTTCCTCTGGTAACACCTTTTCCTGACACAACTCTGAGCTCAAACTCTTCAAGGACTCGGTGCTCCGATGGAGCATTGAAGAATTCAGAGTTCCCATGTTGCTCATTTTCTCACAGTCCTCCACCTCTAGTTCCTGGAAAGTTTGCAAGGAATAGAGAGATGGCCGTGGCTTGCCTTCTCCATCCATTGAAGCCCCTGTGGCGGGAGTGGAGAGAGGAGGAAAATGAGATGAGAGGCGTATCAGAGAGAGAAGTATTATAATGAAATATGTAGACTAAAATGTTAAAAACATTTTTCACTAAAGCAGACCTTATTACTGATTTTGAGCTATTCCCAAAGGACTAGCTGCACAGAAGAATAAGCATTGTTGATTTTTGTTTAATTATAAAGAGGCCGTATAATATCCAAAAAAGGTTTTTACTTAAGTATTAGCTCTGATTACCAAAGAACTAGGTAATATTAGGACATCAAGAAAGGAATAAGTTTAACTAGAGTTTAAAATATTTAAACTGCTCTAACACACACATAGCTATGCCTCTAAGAGAAAGAATTATTTTCAAATGTTTTACAATCCATGCTTGCCATTTTTAAGGTTAAAATATTTCATGTTCATGTTTCATTCTCAGATTTTCCAGATTTTTTTTTTTTTACAAGCAAAAGAGGGCATTACCTGAAGCATTCTGTAGAGTCTTTAATATTATCCTAGTATATAATGCAACTTTTGTACTTAATGTATGAAATTGTCAAACAATAGCATGAACAATTCTTAATTTACTTGAGTAGTGGTTTGTATATCTAGCAAATACATAGCGCAAGATCATTCTTACTCTGTTTAACATTATGAGGGGGTTCATTATAAGCAAAGGAAACAGCTGTGCAGTCTTAATAATTTAAATATTCTTGTACCAGATAAACTTCTGCTGACTGTGTGCTTGATAAAAGCTATCAGTTTACTGGCATTGCTTGCTACTAAAGCTTTTTAAAAATTGCAAATATGAGAAGTCTTAATTCAAAATATTACAACATATATGCTTTGGTTGACCTCTCTTTCAAAATCATTTGATTTTTCCTGTTACCTGTTATGTTAGACAAAGCCAAAGAATCCATTGAGTCTCGAACACTTTGTTCTTGCTGTTTCAGATCAGATAGGCACTCCAATGAACCTTCATACCATGGTGTTTGGTCATGTTTGTATCCTGCAGCCCCATGTTCCATGTCTAACTCCTGGATTTTTCTGCTGCTAGCAGGGCCTGGATGGCTGCCATATGCTGAGTCACCCAAGCCATCCTGCGACTGGGCCCAGTACATGTCTGACTGATACTTTTTACTTGCTAGGCTTGGATTATTTTTTTTCAAGTCCAACTTGCTCTTGACCATGCTATCAGAAATCCAGTGTTCACTTGATCTAATGTCTACTTCAGCAGGCTGCTGGAAGAGGCTTTTATCACCAAACTTCAGAAGAAGTTGAGTCATGTAGTCTTCATGTTCAGCCCATTCTTCAGGGTCTTCAGGCATATCTTGCTCTACTCTTCCTTTCCAGAAGTCTTCATTAACAAAGCCTGCCCCTTGCCTTGAAAGGCTTAAGTCATCCAGCTTACGAGAAAGAGTATCATCAGCATTGCTTGAAAGACCAGGAAATTTGTAATTGAGGGCTGGTGACAAAAGGAGGGACTGGCGGCACTGGTCAGCCGACCGGCTGCTTTTTCCCATACGGACACTCCTCCTGGAGTCTCTTGATCGAGCAGACTGAAATGCAGAATCAGAAGAGTCGGAGGCATGAACATCCTCACCCAAGCTGCAAGTTTTTGAGCAATAAATCTGCCCTTGCTTTGGAAGGAAGGGGCAACCAAGCAAAGAGGTCTTGCACTGAGCACAGGAAAAGCAAGTCTCTGTGGCATGCCAGTGCTGTCCATCATAGGTCATCTGAGCATGGTCAACACCTAGAAAGGGAGAAAAAGCAATGCTGTGGGTTCTCTAAAGAAATTACCTGCACAATCTAACACTTTTGAAATATGCTTATAAATTGGCTCATAAATTGCCTTTCACTTAATTTTTTAAGTCTAACACTTAAAAAGAGAATATTTACCAATGTGTTCCCCACAGGTCTCGCAGTATTCTGCATAGAGAGATTCAAAACAGTTACAGCAGAATGGTCTCCCGTCCTTCATGATGTATCTCTGTCCACCCAGGATCGTTTCACACTCCAGGCAACAGAAGTGTTTCATGTGCCAGTGACGACCCTCAGCTTCTGTACATTCATCAGCAAAAATGATCTTCAAAAAATAAAGGCAAACTTGTAGTTAAGTAGCCAAAACCTCACGTCAGGACTCAGAGCAAACAAACTATCCAGTTTGTACAGTTAACAGACCAAACAAATTAATGTTATTTAGCTGCATTGTGAATACAAAGATAGAAACAAAGATAGAAACAAAAATCTTCAGTGGCACTCTAATCTCTTTTTTTAAAACAACAAAGAATTAAGAAAAACTATGCTTTCTAAAGCAAAAGGTTAAACGAGAATGTAAGAACTTGAACAACTGAAAAGGCTGCTATTATGAAGGTATCCTGGAATATTTGTACAGATCCTTTTTCTAATTCAATCTACAAGATTCAATTATAGCTACAAACAAACAGGTATGCGTTTTCTAAATACTATCACATTGCTTGTGATACTGCTGATTTTACAAGAAATGAAGCAACCCTCAGCTTCATTTGCATGCTTCTGGTGCATATCTGTGCACCAGAGTCTTTGTTGCTTAAAGGGATGAATTTGAAGCTAGTAATTGCCCAAATAAGCAATGCAGTTTGTTAACTGAGCAATAACAGACCTGTGGATTGACATAAAATGTAAATTATTTACCTCATCACAGGCTGAACATCGAGGTTTAAGAAGTTCAGCATGGTGTCTGCCACAGTGAATTTTTCCATCTTGGTAGAAGTAGATTAGGTCAACGAGAAGCTCGTTACATGTGAAGCACACAAAACATGATGGATGCCAGCACACACCAGGCCCAGCTCTTGAGGCAAAGACTGCAACTTCACCGCCGTTTACTTTAGTACCACACTAGGAACAAAACCAGAAAGTGAACTTAGTTCTCATCCCAGGCAACTGGCCACAGACACTTACTTAAGCTAAGTTCAAAACAACAAACCTAGTAAGCAGTTTTTAATTCTAAAATATTGACAAAAGGGAAAAAATATTCTCAGTCTTGGAATGGACAAATTCTGTGCATCAACAAAACTTTTATGAATAGAATTTTATTTTATACATAGAAATAATTCTACACGTATGCCCATTTCTCATGTGCATTTGTTTTAATACGAGTCAGCAGCAGTTTTTTGGAGTAGGAATATTCAGTACATTTCCCGTATCAAAGGTGGTGTTTTGTTTTAGCAACCACTGCCTTCATTTTATTTATGAGCAGTTTTAAATATTCTCATTTTTTTCCAGAGTTCAGGCATAGACAGAGATAAGCCTATATTTAATATCAAAATATTGAAGTCTTAAATTATTCATCCTGCTAGTTGGCTTGTGGCACTAGCAGTATATTACCTGTTCACAAACTGCATGCATCACTGCTCTTGAGAGTAGTTTAATAGTGCCTCTCCCGAGTGCCTCCTTTTTGCGCTGAGAACTAAACATCTGCAGTTCCTTTTTTTCTTCTTCACTTAAAGACTGACAGTATCTCACCTTCCAAAAAAAAAAAAAAAAACCACATAACTTTTTAGATATTAAGATTTTTAAATAATGTATTAACAACTAAGCACACATATGCAAGACATCAGGCATGCTGGCAATCATTGTTAAACTTTTCCAACTTATCTTCTCTACAGCCTTTACTTCTAGTTAATATGGCACAATACAAGCCTAGTATAGACAGAGATTTTGCGTTACAGGAAAAAAGATATCAAATGAAGAAGCAGTCTAGGCAGGAAATAAGATTTTAAAAAGCCAAACCAAAAACTGTTGCTATCCTAAAATAATTGAATGAAGCTAAATCAGATACAGCCATTACAGAGTCATTTAGATTTATGGTTAAATGCCCACAATTAAACTAAGTATGGCAGTATACACAAGATCTTAAGTACTGACACCCCTGCCTTCCTGCCCACCCCCTCCCCCCACAAAGGGCTTGTTTGTTATTTCCACTTCTACCCCAAATTACACTGCATATCTGAGATGCAAAGCTTTTACTGTCACAAAGCATCCTTTTTGTGTGCTACAATGAAATTCCAGGAATTTTAGGTTCCTGGTAATTGGTGGGTGGCTGCAAACACTATAAAACCAACTTGTGTTAAGTTTATTGCACTGACACCAACCTTCCTAACAAGAAAAGGCAGTGTCCTTCCAGACAGCTCTTATCTGAACACAAGTGAAACGCACGGCTAAACAATGGATTCACTGTACACACCGTGCTGTTTTATAGGTTAGATGCCATTACAAGCAATATTTTAGGCTTGTAATAAATACACAGGTAGGTAATTCTCCATGTAAAAGAAGCAAGCAAGACCCAAATCGTGACCATTCATCTGTAAGTTCCATATTTACCTCATTATCGTGGGGTGGCAACTGATAGAGAAGTTGTTTAATTCTGTGTTTCTCTCCAGGGCTGTTAACGTAAGGGACCTTCTCCTCTGGCAAACAGGCAAAATAAAGCTGTACCTGAATAGGAGATATGCAGAATTCAGACCAAGAGACCCAGACAGCGTAAGCGTCCTTCAGCTACTGTTTATCTCTAGCCTTAGTTACAAAAGAAAAAGGATTACATTACATTAGACCCCCTGGCAGGATTTGCGCTGAAAATACGAGACCCAGATGAGCGAACTCAGCAAACCTGAATTGTCTCTGATATAGCTAGCACCCAGCTGCTGAATTGCTTTTCTGGAATGCAATTTGCAGTGACAATTAGGGGTATCATAAATTATGCACATTTAATGTTCTCATTATTCCCACCCCCTTCAGGGCTGGTCCACAAGCCTGTTGAAATTCCAAGTTCCCTTCTGCAATTTACCACACAAGGCATGAAACTTTCCAGAAAACAGTCACTATATAAACAAATTTAATTTTGCTCTGTGCACTTTACACATTGTTGAGACAAAAGCTGTTTTGTAGTCTCCTGCTGATGAGGTTCGTCCCAAGCCTCAGCTTTCATTGCTTCCACGTGAGCTTTGGTTAGAAGACAGAAACACCCTACCCTTGGGAGGAGGTTGGATCCAGCCACGTTTCAATCAGAAACAAATTAACTATGAAATTTTCATGGGCTGCATGTGTTTGATCAAGAAATCAATATATACGGGGTACACGCACTCCAAACCTGACAATATTTTCAGATCAATTTCCACTCATTTTTTTCAGAAGAAAATTATGACAGGAAAACTGTCACGAATGCTATAACAAAGCCCAATGGCAAAAAATATTTTTGTGGAACAGCTGCAGATTTATTGTTTTTCCTATGCAGTTTCCAGCTTGTCACAAGGCCTGGGGCTGTAAATAAGACCTGACTATTGGCAAAAATATTACTTGCCATCCAGATTTAAATAATGCTTAGGTCAACAGCTTATTACTGTGCAAGATAGATGAAAAAGAGGCAGTAATCAGTCACTTGACTTGGGAAGCAATCAAAATTATTTGGGAAAGCTTGTATGAAATGTTATTTGGCTTTCATTTATCCAAATTTTAAACATCAAAAATCTACTGTAAGCCCACTTACTACTGATTGTATTTCAAGAAGCTGCAGGAAAAGATAATAACATGCAGTATGAGAAGAAGCTTTTAAAGACACTTCATGCCCACTTCGCAAGTTTATTACACTGTTTTCAAAATATGTCTACTCTTCCTAGAAAAGAATCTTATAATAAGTTTCAGGTAGCTGGAATATGAGGATATTTTACTGAGTTCACTTAATTGCTCTGGCTAAATGTTAACTTGCCTTTTTGCTTTTACCTCCGATTCATGATGATTCTTATATATGCTAAAGTAAGTGATAAATTTTTTTTTTTACTTCATTCAAAATGAAGAAAACCTCTGCAGAGCAAAAAGGATACATCTTTTGTGGCTTCATAACTATGGATCATATTAGCTGGCCAGCTGAATGAGAGTTGCTCTCCCTCCTTGAACAGAAAGTTACTCTATCCACTTAACACTGAAGTTTGACTTCTGGATATTACTGAAGGATCATTAAAGGAATATTATTGGAGTTTCATTTCAATTATGCAGAGCAACTTTCTCATTGATAATTTAACTTGTATTTCCATTAGCATTATGTTCTAATAGATAAAAAAGAAAGGGGAGAGGGAGAAAGGAAAAGCCCAACAAACCCTCAGCCCACAAGTGTCAACTCCAGAGAACGTACAAGAGAAATCCTGGCAGGAATAAATAGCGGGCATACAGCTATAGTAACATACCTGTTCTAGATGTCAAATGCCTAGTCATTTAGACAAAGCATTGTACAAATCCAGTTAAGTACTGACCAAATAATACAATGCCACAAGGTATGCCATGAGCTTTACTTTAACCAGATAACTTATTTCAAAGAGAAAGTGAGCGTTTTCTGTGCTGCTTTAAGACTCTACAATATACGCTTTTGTGACACACGTTTATTGAAAAACGTTAACTCAAAAATATTTTTTGAAATATAAGCTCCTGAATGACCAAGATTTTAAGCTCCCTTAAGACCACCTTACTGGAATAAGAAACAAAAGTTTAAAGTTTTAAGGATACACAGAAAACTGGTAGAGGCAGAGTATCACTCACAGAGACAGGTCTCATTAAGGTTATTTTAAAAATAAAGAGCTACAGTTTGTACCTGCTCTGGTCTAAGGCCTGGTGGGACCCAGGCATATTCTTCCAGGGCACAGCCAGAGTCATCATCAGATGTTGAGCTTCGCTGACACCCAAAAGCAAGACTGTTTGCTTTGGGCTCCATCTCCAATGGCATAACGTAAGCGTGAAGCGTTAAATATTTCAGCGGTAGTTCATCAAGCAATTGATCTGGAGGAAAAGATTACCAGAGCGTTAATTAACTTGAACATGCAGTGACTATCTATCGGTGAAATAATCTTACAACAGTTTAGTATTCCTTGTGTTGCACAGAATACAAAAATTATTGACGTATCATTACAACTTGCTACAATAAAAAGAAAAAATAAGGAAAAGAAAACTAGACGCACACCACCCCATTTAGTAGCCCACACATATTTCAGTATGAAAACGCTTGTTATCTTTTGCACTTCTGCTTGTTTCAAAACACCACAGGTTAAGGAAAGACTCATGTTGAGCAGATATTAATAAAATGAATGACATGAGCACTTTTTGAAGTCGCCACCAATCTAGTAACATGGAAGACATGAAAACTGCTTGTCCAAAACTAAAGATATTCTTGAGAGAGTTGTGCAATTAGCATCCTGTTTTTAACTAGTTAGGCATAAAGCAAGCAATTAAAGTCTGTTAGATCCTCCTGAAAACTCTGTTTCAGCTGTATCAGAGCAGAAGGGTGTTGGTCCAGTTAAATATCTAAAATCCAGTTATGTCAGATTAGGCTCTGTAAAATACATCATGATTAATTTAAAACCCTACAGGGACATGCTTCTGTTGATTCACGAAGTCTACAAGGTTTAGTATCAGTGGGACCATTTTGAGTCAAAACTGGCAAAGAAGGGTCTCACCGAGATCTATAACATTCTGTGATAAAAAACTTAAGATTTAAGTGTTACACATTAATTCTAGCAGAAGTTCCTCGGAAATTCTCAATAGGAATTTCAGTGAAATACAGATCATTACCAAAACCAAAGAGGATGTATTTTACCATGACCGACATCCTGATCACTTGGGGTTGGAAATAAGCAGTACAACATTACAAATGAGCTGTATGTTCCCTGTTTCAGGCAATTCTTTTACCTATTCATCTAAATATAGATGCAATTTTATCAGTACTAGACTTGGGCTGTAGGCCAGCTGTGGAAAATTTTCATCACCTTGACACACAAGTTTGCTGTTGGGTCTAAAGGAGAGAGCAATTTAAAAAACTTCTGGCTCATTTCACATTACATTACAAGTCTCATCACCACCATATTAGAAAAATTGAGTTACTGCCAGATCACAGGTGGAAGAAAAGTTTAAGATCTAGTACCTAACTTTTCTGCTTATTACACAACAGGAGTTTCTCCTTCAGGAGAGGCATAAGGTATTGGTTAGTGCCAGACACTGTTTATTCACTATGGCATTCCTCATGCAAACCCAAACCGGCTCAATGAAAAGTGATCATATGCACACAAAGTGAAAAAACCTCACAGAAATGACGATATTTACTATTACACATTCTATCTATCCCTGTTTTCAATACATCTATACATTCCCACATCCAATAAAAAGAGATGGAATTACTTAATTATTCCACTGGGCATACTGCCAGCGCTCAAAAAAATTTAACTTAAGATTTTTGTTAACTTTATTCCAAAACTTCTTGTTTGAAAACATATGTGCTATTTTTGATTTACTGCTAAGATGCTAGTGCAATAATAGTGCATTGCATAGCTGCCCTGTAATAAAAGATTTATTTATCCTTTGCTGAAGTAAGCAAATCTGCCAGCCTCCTCTAAGAACAGCATATTTCTATGAAGCTTGACGGATATCAGGCAAATTTCTAAACTCTTACTCTAGCTGAAGAGCTGATGGGTAGTAAAACAACTTTTTACACAGAATAACAGAATGGTTGAGGTTGGAAGGGGCATTCAGAAATCATCTAGTCTAACTCCCCTGCTCAAGCAGGGTCCTCTAGAGCATGTTGCCCAGGACCATGTCCAGATGGCTTCTGAATATCTCCAGGTATGGACACTCCATAACATCTCTGGGTAACCTGTGCTAGTACTCAACCACCCTTACAGTAAAATAGTTTTTTCTTATGCTCAGATAGACTTTCCTGTGTTTCTGTTTGTCCCCATTGCCTCTCGTCCTGTCAGTGGGCACCACTTAAAGGAGTTTGGCCCCATCCTCTTGACACCTTCCCTTCAGATACTCATGCACATGGATAATATGCCTCCTAAAGAACCTTCTCTTCTCCAGACTGAACAGGCCCAGCCTTTCTTCAGAGGAGAGATGCTCCAGTCCCCTCATCATCTTTGTAGCCCTCCGCTGCACTCTCTCCAGTAGCTCCATGTATTGGGGAGCCCAGAAGTGGACACAGTGCTCCAGATGCGGCCTCACCAGGGCTGAGTAGAGGGGGAGGATCACCTCCCTCGACCTGCTGGCAATGCTTTTCCTAATGCAATCCAGGATACCATTGGCCTTCTTGGCCACAAGGGCATGTTGCTGGTTCATGGTCACCTTGTTGTCCACCAGGACTCCCAGGTCCTTCTCTTTCTAGTAGGCCAGCAACCCCAGCATACTGGTGCATGGGGTTATTCCTTCCTAGGTGCAGGACCCTGCGCTTGCCTTTGTTGAACTTCAGAAGGTTCCTCTCCACCCATCTCTACAGCCTGTCCAGGTCCCTCTGAATGGCAGCACAGCCTTCTGGTGTGTCAGCCACTCCTCCCAGTTAATCATCAGCAAACTTGCTGAGGAGGCACTCACTCTATCCCTTCATCCAGGTCACTGATGAATACATTGAACAATTCTGGACCTCGTATTGACCCCAGGGTACACCGCTATTTACTGGTCTCCAACCAGACTTTGTGCCACTGATCATAACCCTGGGAGCCCTGCTATTCAGCCAGTTTAGCTCTACTTCACCAAATTACAATCTCTGTAAAGGAAGGTGTGTAAAAACAAACTCCTGTATTTGCTGTTTTGCATATTAATAGCACCCAAGACAGGTAGATTGTATCCCCACTAATTAATACTTTCAACTTCACTTCATCCTAAGAGACCTTTCCTTCATTTCCTCTTCAACTGTTTAGAAGCTGACCTTTTAAAGCAATCATTTTCAAGAGGTGTAAACCACTTGTGGTTAGATAGCTAGCTGAAGCCAAAGCTATCGGTACACACATTCATTGTCCACAAACAGACAGCATTAATTCTATTGCCTTATTATTGCCTTGCAAACGCCTTATAAAAGCAAATGACAAGAAGGCAAGGATAGTCTACCGGAAAACATATGAACTGAACTAATGAACAAATCTCTAAAAGCTCAATCTTGAATATCTGAAGTAGAAAGACAGACATCCTTGGTGCACACTAGATCCCTAGAACTAATTTCCTTCAGAAATGGATATTAAGATAACAACTCCACATACTAATAATAATGAAGTCAACCATTACGTATGTTTTATTGTTATTGTTTCTGTAAAACTGAGGGGAAAGGAGAAAGAGACAAATACTGTGATAGAGTAAAAGCAATGCTCACTGTGCAGGAGGACTGTAACGCTAGGGTTAGCATCTTGTGTCCCACATCACGTATGCCCAAATAAGTCTGAAGTATAAAATCACGCTTCACTGCGACCAGTATTTTTGAGAAGTCCAAGTCCTTTCTAAGATGATCTTAGCAGTAGATGTACTGTTTCACAGTTTCCCTTTAGAATAAGGTAGATTGTTGGTTTACAATAAAGCGTCACAACTAGCTGAAATCTAAGGGGATATTTCCAGTTCTTATGTCATTGTGCCATAAGAATTTGTGTTGATCAAACTGCCGCTTTTCAAGAACTGACTCCTGCCCAGCAACCCACAAATAAAAGGAGTCACAAGATGAAATACCTGTGTCAAAGTTTCACAGGCTGCTCTATCTCAACTGCACCACAGGACAGCAAGTCCGAAACTTAGCTTAAGAGTCGCATTCAGTTCTGCCGCTCCTGAAACACTCAAGCAAGGTATACCTGTGCCTTGTTAACATGATATTCAAAATCACGTCAAGTAATGGATTAGTTGTTTAATCTCGACTGTTCAAATACCTCTCTGTAAGATCAAAAATTAACTTCTCTGGTTTATTTTCTCCACTCTAAAGAAAAGGGAAAAAAAATTTTCAAAATGAACGTACGTTAACTTCTCTGAGGATTTCTGAACCCTAAGGTTACATGCTACTTCTATTTAGCACCAACGATGCTTGGTAACATTAGGATTTCAAGCATATCAGAGATATATAAATGCAAGAGAGTTGCCCAATTCCAAAATAAGACAAGGCATTTAAGTGGGACCAGGCTGCTTTTCCACAAAGATTGATCCTGTCTGGGTCAGCAATTTTACACATTCCTTTCAGACATCCAGTTCTCCAGTTCTAACAAGAGAAAAACTGACACCGTAGGCCAGTCGGCCCTCTAAGAGAGGGCAGGTTGAAAGTATGGGTGGTGGAGAATAAAGGAAAAATATACCTTACTTCAAAACCACAAAACAAAACTGTACAATCTGAGTGCTCCTCATCAGATAAGAGGATTGGAAATGTTAAAAGTGAGGCTCATAAATCTCAGTGAACTGAGATTAGTCAAAGGACAGTACTCACTTAAAAAAAACGTTATCATAATGCTAATACTAAGTCAGCTACAAGCTGACTGACAATACACCATATTATAGCAATATTACAAATACTGTGGTGTTGCTGAGAGTGAGGTTTCTAAAAACAGCACAGCTTAACAGCAAGCTATTTGCCGAACTATTTTAGCAATTACTTGTTTAGAAGTTCTCCTTCCTCTCCTGCTCAAGTGTAATTTGGTTTGCATTTTAAAACTGCAGGGTTCAGGAAACTTGCTCCCCACCCCCCAACTGCACTCATTCTTCAAAGTGACCTGTTTAAAACCATTACATCCTAAGGAGGATTCAGATGAATATAAACAACAGCTGAAAAAATAAATGATTTGTGAGGGATGATTAGAAAGGAGGTCTTTCTACTCATGCCATGCCATCCCCAAAACACAGCAAATGTGTTTTGTTTTGCTTTTTTAAAGTCTATATAACATTTTGAAGTTTCGCCTCTGTTCAAATGCTATCTCACAAATGAAGCTTCACAGCCTACAGGGGGCTATTTCACTGGCAGCTTGACAACTATGAATCATACAATTGAATCAAACAACTAAATTTGATTTGAAAAGAAAAGCAATTAATACATTTTTTTCTACTGCTGTATTAAAATGACCATATATGACAAAGTTCTCAGAGGTCAGAAGTGAAGACAAGCTACACTTCTAATTATAAATCTGCCGGTACATAAAATATTAGGATGTCATACTTAAAGCAAAGCTATTGCCGAATCCAATACAAGGTTATCCTTATGCTGAGTTTTCCAGCTCACTGAT